AAAGATAAACAACGAGATGAGAATCTTCTTCAAATCTGAAACATGTGGAACATAGCTAAGTGTTCTAATTGTTCCATCCAAAAGTTTCAATCTGACCATACCAATTTCAGCAACTTGATAAGGTGTGTTGTTTCCCATAACCACGACACATTTGGAAACAGTTTCATATGTAGTAAGTAAGTCCTTATTAGGACACATATGAAACACACATGTAAAATTAAAAATCAATCCTCCTATGTTTTAGACTCAACGTCAGAAATAGCCAAGAGATCTCCATCAATGTTCTCCGCGAGGTCTGCTTCACCTAAAGTATCTGATTGCTTCACATATTGACTTACAGCCAAGTTTCTTTATTCTATAATTTGTAGCAATCCTTTTTCATGTGCCACTTCTTCTTGCAGTAGTTACAAATCTAATTATTGAACTTAAATTTCGATCTACCCCTTCCAAAATCAGCATGAGCAACTAGCCTTCTCCATCTCTAGCCTCAGAAACCAAATGCTTCATCTTCTCTTTTGAATATAAAGCATCATACACCTCCTCTATGGTGAGGGTATCACGACTATATAAGATCATGTCTCTAAATGAAGAAAACGAAGTGGGCAATGAACACAATAGAATCAAGACCAAATCTTCATCATCATAATCTACTTCTAAAGTTTCCAAATCGGCGATGATCTCTTTAAATACAGCTAGTTGATCTTCCAATGATCCTCTTTGTGCCATTTGATTAGAGTATAAGTGTTCCTTGAGGTTCAACTTGCTTGTCAGACTTTTAGTCATGCACAATTGCTCCAACTTCAATCATAGAGCAGCTACTGAAACCTCCTTCAAAATGTCCTGAAGGAATGGTATTTGAAAGATGAAGATGAATGTGAGAAATTGTCTTCTTATCATTTCGTAATTTTTCATCCGCAATCAAAGTTGCGGGCATCTTGTCAATTCCCAGCAATGTATCATCCAAATCTAGCTGTGTGAGTACTATACGCATTTTAACCTACAATAGAAAAAAATCTAGTGCTCCAATCGAAAAGCGGAATGTCATACTTCATGGAAGCCATCATGAACAAAAACCTCTAACAAATCAAACCAGGGATCTTGCTGAACTGCTGAACCTGGGGCTCTGTCTGATACCACTTGTTATAAAACATACCACCGGATTGAGATGTTGAAATTATATGACAAATATAGCTTGTTTGGTAAAGATTAAAATCAGATTAAAATTGAAAAACTAGCCGTTATTGTTGACTTTTATTAGACGAGTGGGACCTAATAACGGCTATATTTTCAATTTTAATTGGATTAAAATTCCTCCCAAACAAACTCATAACGAAGTATTAGATCAAGTAAAAGAATAATAAAGATAACAAATATGGTAGAAGAATTAAGAGATTTTATTGACTCGAGAATAATGGAAAATAGAGAAAATTACAATAGATCATATAATTCTAGTAATCTATTTTCTCACATTTATGAAATTGTATAGAAGAGTCTAATATTTATAGGGAACATGTAGGTGATGTCCAAACCCTCTTAGTAGGGTTGTTGATGAAATAGGATGTCAAAAAATCGAGTCCAAAATGAAAAGGTGAGAAAAAGGCGGAAAACCCGAAATAGGTTAGGTGGGTGCTGGCGTCGTGGTGCCCATGCCCAGCGCTGCGGCGCCGGCGTTCTGAATTTTTTTTTGTTCCCAAATTATTTTCTCCATCCCGAACTCTTTTTAAAGTCTAATACCAATTTTCAACTCTTAATTGACTTTCAAAATAGAACTTCAACTTGACATAGGACTTCAATAACATTTTAAACTGAATTATTCTTGATGTGTAATTCAATTAGAATTCTTCAATACTTCAAACAAAGAATTCGGGTCACACCCAAATTCAAACAAAAAAGAAACCGATTGCACAAAATGAGCTAGAGATTAGTGAAGAACATAATATTACATTTTATAATGTGCTGTTTTGCTTTTAACTTTGGTTGTAGTAGGAACATTTGAGAAATCCATTTCAATGTTAAGCCGTGGAGCCTAATCATTGTCAAGTTTGAATCTAAAAGAGAGATGATAGAAATATTAGGAATTTTACGTTTGTAATATTAGTATTATCCTAAGTTGTCATTATATTTTGTACTATGGAGAGATTATAGAAAATAAAGTGGGCGATTTTATTTATTTATTTTTTCCGTAAAAACTACTGCAGCTGTGGAAGATGTAGTATAGCATCTATTAATCTTGCGTCTTCTTTGTGAGTTTTTATTAATTCTATACACATGAAAACAGATCAGTAGAACATCGAGAGTTTGAGCTTCAAATTATCATTCTTTGTTGTTGAATTTCAAGTAAGTGATACCGTAATAGAAATTACTCTTATCTGTTTTGTAACTTATGTTACATGATTAGCAAATAATGGCACTTGCAGCCAAGCTGTTTGATTAAATTTAAAAAATTTGAAGCCATTTATTTATTTATATGCCTCCCATTTGGCCTTTGACCAATTCGAATTTGGTTTTTGTTGGATATATGAGTCCAGTTATGCTTAAAATTTCTCTGAAAAATGTATGAACCTGTTAACTTTGGCCTCATTTGTCAAATTTATAAACCATTTATGAAAATGAATAGTTGTGAACATGGGTTGACTCGGGAAATATTTTCATTGGGGGCGGTATTAGTAAAAGTTAAAAAAAGAAAAATCATTATAACACAAGTACTGATGTCCTAATCTTCTACTCTCTTCTCCCAACTAGCATATAAAGGATGGACTCAAGCACATTTAAGATGCAGAGTGGAAATGCCAAGTTGAAACAGGAACGATATTTCCTTGTTGCATCAAATAGTTTGTAGGAAAATCATCTGAAGAATTAAATATTAATCAGCATTATAGTTGTTGTTCCCAGCATATCAGATTCATTGTTAAACAAACAATAGATTGAAGAAGCTTCTAGCTTTCCCAAAGAAAAATAAAAATAAAACAAAAACAGTTGAACTATTCAATACATTGGGAACAATACCAATTAAGAAAAATCACTTGCCGAAGATTCGCTTCACTTGAAAATGGAGACCATTTGGCCATTTGCCTCTACAGCTCTACTTTAAGATTTCACCGACCACTGAACAATTCAAATTACAATACAGCACAAATCCACCTCCTAAATTAATCTAACGATCCTAAAATAACCATCCTAGAGAGAGAAATCAAAGTGTTTTAGGGAGAGAAAGTGATGTTCTTCAACTTCAACTCTTCAATTCAAGAAATTATAGAAAACTCATCAGGGGTGAGGGATGCAGGGGTGTGCGCCGTAGATGCTGGAGCTTCTCAATTCTCTGTTGATGCAGCCTTGCAGGGGCGTATTGTAATGGATTGCAGGGCTCTACAGTTTGGGCCAAATAATTGGCCCACTTGTTCTTTTTTAGTATTGGGTTGTTGAAAAAATTGGGGCAGCCCAAAGCAAATGCCTGCACTGGGCTTGGGTTGGATCCGCCCCTGGCTGGCTGCGGATGTCACGAAATATGTGGTAACGAGTATTAGTTATGAGTATGTGGTTGAAAATTAAGCTAAGTTTTATAGGCAATTAATAAAGAGGAAATTACACAAAACCAAATTTTAAAAGTTTTAACGCCAAATTTAAGATATAAACTTTATTTATACAAAAATCAGATGTTAATTAATTATAATTACCAAAGCCCTAAAAATCAAAAATCATTTATCCCATTTTCATTTTCTCTCTAACCTCTCATCTCTCGCCTCTCTCTCTATCACCTCTCTCTCTCTCTATCCCGTCATTTCAAGGTCGGCCGACGCTGCTGTGAACACCGTGACTCCACCGGGAGCAGATGTCGTCGCTCCGAAATTGAAAACTGACGCTCGAGAGAGAAGAAAAACGAATCGAATCCTGCTTCGCTGAGGTTCTAGAAGCAACGACTGATGAAAATTAAGGAGCAGAAGCAGATAAGGTGATTTTAAATTTGAATTGGCCGAAATTTCATGTGGAGAATGATTCTCACTGCTCTTATGGTGAAGATTTCAACACTACTTGGGAGGAATGTCAAAGTTACATGGACCTTCTAAATCTCGAAATTAATTGATAGTTTTTTCTTTGGCTATTAATTTCAATTTCTAGGCTTCTTAATTTTATTGACCTTGGCGATTGTTGTAGTGCTTATTCTAGTGGCGGTGGTTTTGGTGGTGTTTGGTTGTGATTGGATCT